GGTGACCTGTCCAGGGTGTACCCCGCCTTTCGCCTGATGTCAGCTGGGATTGGCTCCAGCCCCCCCGTGACCCTGTACGCAGGATAAGCGGTTGATGATGGATGGATGAAAAAATGACAATATTCAAATTTTTTACATGCACCTGTATCGTATTGTTGTTTTGTATTTGTATTGCTTTGTATACTGTTTGACACCACTGAGTGGTTGGTTATCAAATTTTGGCACACCTTTTTGAAAAATGGATACATTTTTAATAAGATATAAGGCAGACACAGGTAGAAGCTGCAGACACTAGCATTCAGTTGAACAAATCTCGGCATACCTCAATGTGTGACAGGTGCGTCAGAGGAAAGCATGACTTCATAATAATGAAAAAACTACTACTTAGTGCTGATACAGAGAGTCCAAGTGAAACCAGATTCTGCTACAGTAAGAAACTTCCCATTGACGTTTCCACTAAAAATCCCGTTAACATTTGTAACTACGCTAATTACAATAAATCCAGCCTTGGAACAGAGCCTTTCTCAACCGTATGTTGTGTGGCTCGCTTCATATGTTTATATAAGGACGGTATTTTTTTTTTTTAATTGTCTAATATTGTTGTTTATTTAATATTTATGTTTTTAGAAGCCTTTAATTAACACAATTTCCCACAAGCCCTACACCTTGGTTTATCATGCCTTGATCACACTGTAATCCCAACAGGACAAAGAGACAAATAGCCAAGAAGTATCCATGCTGCTGCACTGTGCTCACAAAGTGATCGTTGTTTTACATTCTTAAAATCATGAAGGTTACAACGGCTTTGTCTTAGAATATGGACAGGTTTTATATATTCTGCATTTAAATTCTGGAAGGGAGAAATTGGGCTGGGGCTTGGATTAACGTCTGGGACTGGGGTTGTTGCAGTTTTAAAACGAAACTGACCAGAACATGAAAGGTAACAACTGATTATATGTTTCTTTGGTCTGTACCAAGTAAACTTAAGGCCTGAAAGTGACCTAAATCATTCCAAACACTCACAAAAGACTGTTTGGTACCATGTTGTGTTGGCTGTTGTTATGGAACTGTTAAAGTGTTTCCACCTGCTGCCTGTATGCTTTCTAACCTGTATTGCTCTGATATTCTCCATCAGCTGCTCGGTTCTGGAAGCTCCCAGGAGGACAGAGTTCACACCTTCGTTCCTCAAGCACCAGGCTGTGAGAATTTGCAAAAAAAGAAGAAAAGTTGTGCAGTCCTTCAGTAGCCATTGTTGTGTGGAGGTAACTGCAAAGTCATCTGGATTACAACACAGGCTAGGGGATAACAACACACATTATGTGTGCTGGACACATTTGTGCAAATATAGTCATGTTTTATATGAATCCCTAAATATTTCAACATGCTGTGTAAGAAAAGGTCTGTGGCCTGCATGTTTAATGAAGGGCTGATGGAGTTTTCTCACTTGTTCTTTATTCATGTTTTATGAAAAAACAATACCGCAAGACTTTCCTTTTTTATGTTATTAACCATAGAATAAATAAAGGATATAATTTGCTATAATTGTAATAAAGTGTCAATCAATTTTAATAACAAGTTATCATGACAGACAGAAACCTTATTCCTGTAGAAAAAAACATGGACAACTTCATAGCGGGACATGATGGACGTAAACACAGAGTAACAAATTGCAGTTTGGTTTTACCGATAGCCAGCTGGGGCAGAGTGCAGCCTAGTCGCTCAGCAACTGCCTGCAACTCTTTTAGCTTCAGCTGCTGACGGTGCCCCTCCTCACTCAGGATCTTGTCCTTCATCCACTGATAGCCCTGTTGCAGACAGCACAAAACAGCCCGGGGCTTAAGGCAAGACAGGGATTCTTGTAGTGTACCCGCAGGTCTCTAGTGTGTGCTGCAGCCCAGTGTTTTTCCACTGGTGTTTTTGAGGGCGTGTCGGACTAGCCGCTTGGCGAGCGTTATATGAGGCGCATTTAGCTTTCATCCCTGTGACGTCACAAGGATGAAAGGGAAACGGCTGGACTACAAATAAGCTGTTTTCAAGCAGTTTAGAGCAGAGTTTTCTGTGGGAGATGGGAACTCCCTTTGGGCTGGACCTCGGGCTTTTTCACTTTGCAAACATAGTACATGCACAAAAAAGGTATATAACTCAATAAAGAGGAAAAAGCTAAAAAGCATACCACCTCTTTAATACAGCACATTAGCTTGTGCTATAGCTCACTACTTTCACTTAAAGTATAGTGTTGTTGTAGCACAACTTCTTTTAGGGAAGAGAGCAGCAGCTTGTAGCTTCATTGGATATGGTTTCAAAGTGGTTTCCCTATCACTAATAGTGAGTAGTTAGTAGTTCCAATGAAAACACAGTAAGTTTATTACGCAAAGTAAATGGGACATTGTTTGTAGCATGACACGTTGCTGTTCAGGTTTTCAAATGTATTTTTTCCAATGCTGTGAGCGTCACAGTGAAAATCTCATTGTAATGCAATGGGGGTAAAAATTTCAGACACAGATATCTCAGAACTTGTTCTGTAATTCAATTTGAGCAAAGCGTGTTAAAATATATACAACATTTTAGAAATAGAAAACAGAGTAGACATAATGAATATTAGGAGAAACAGGAGTTACCTTAAGTGAGGCACGTGAATAAGGGGGGATCCCACTGTTATACTTCCCTGAGATGATTCCACAGGCCAGTGGAGACCATGTCATTGCTCCAATGCCTGCGTACCCAAAACAGGCCTTGTAATGGACCAAATCACACACAGCAAATTTCTAATGTTGAATGAATTGTTTATTTGCAGTGTTACAGTGTGGGGGCCTGGTGGGGAGGGCAGCCTCCAGACCTTCTCACAGACTATGGCAGCTATTTACCTATCTTGTGGAAGAGATCAGGGAGTTGCACTTCAACTTTCTCCCTCTGGAACATGTGGTACTCTGCCTGTTCGCAGATGGGTGGGATCTGGTTGAACTGTCTTGCCACTGAGTATGCTTCCTACAGCAAATACAAGGAACAGTTAGTGAACAGTTACACACGTCTTCACAGATCCCAAATTTTGACCTGTTCAAAAATGGACCTACCCTTACCCAGTGTGCATGAATACAATTTCTAAAAAGAAAGCCAATCTTTACTAGACCCAAGGATAATCTAAATGTGGTGGACCAAAACAGAAGGAGAACACCAACAATGGCATGACTAGATGTGTTTAGACTGATAATAATTCGGACCTGGCACTAACTCAGATTGTGGGTTGAATTTAGGTTACAAGGAACCAAATGGACCCATGAATGCATTTACAGACTACTTGGAAACTTGTGTAAACTCACCATTATCTCCATGGAGGTCCATCTTGATGTCCCCCAATACATGGCCATCCCCTGGTTGATCACATGGGTCATTGCCCTCACCGTCTCTATCAAAACATCCCAAATAAGCTAGGTTACCAAGTTTTTGCAATCATCAGACAGACTCCAAAAGACAGAAAGAAACTGCTCAAAAAAAAAAAAAACAGCGACCAGGTAAAATAAACTGACAAAGAATGGCATAAAAACTGTACAGTCTAATATGTTCTTCATCTAGGTTCTGGGTTTTTTAGTACTCCCCAACAACACTTCTTGGATTCTCTCTGACATGTGATTGAACAAACCAGTCAGAAGTTAGACAGACAATACTGGGTGACGGCTTGTGGCATAAGCAAGAGCAACTTGGTTAAGGCATCCCAGTCAGTACACTGTTGGATAAATATGTTGGCTGATCAATAACTCAATTCTCAATCACATCACCACATTGGGTGATGTTTTGGGAAGGTTCAAGTTTTATGAATGCCTACCAGCTGTTTTTGATGAGGCCCTTAATCCATGCTTTTGGAATGATGACGTTTTCAAGCAGACATTAAGCACTTCTAAAAAGCAATGAGGGTTAAATACTTAAAATTGGGCTTGATAACTGTGACCAGCGGAGACTTCCAACATTTCACATCACTTCATTACCAGGCTCAAGGCAGCGTCTGTTATGTGTTCAGGTTTCTGAGAAAGTTGGTGTCAGATGGGGTGTGGGACTCCATCACATAGAGAGCATTTCTTCCACTATAGCCAGATGTAGCACAACAAACACGGCCAGAAGCAAAGCTATAACAAGGTCTTGCCAAGTGTGTGGCACAATGACTTGGTACCATAGACTGTATAAAAGAAGTGGACGTAGTCATCGTGACATCACCCGTTGGTTTGTGGACTGCGGTTTTGAAGCCTCAAGTTTGGCAGATGGGGGCGCTGCCATGTTGTGTTTTTGCAACAGGCACCAGACATGACCATATTTGAACGCGACGGTGGAGCTAGCTAGCTTGCTTAGCTAGGTGCAACTGTGACTCACGTTAACTGTCATTTTAACTGGGCTGATAACTAACTGTCTTAAAACTAAATACTCACCAGATAAAATGAACAGCCAACTCCTAATAAGCTTTTTCAACAGCGCTGGTTAAATTTACACAGTGCCGAGGGTACGAGTCATGGTGGCCTGATTGTCAGGTCGCCATGGTAACGACTTGTCAATCACAGATAATCCCTGAAGTATACTCTGCTTTGTGGTCTACTTTCCTCTAAATGGGACCATAATTTACTAAATGAACATTATGTTTTACTGAAGAAGACTTGAAACTAGCGATTGAGACCAGAAACTCATAATGAAAGTGTTTACTGAAGTAATAAATCAGCTGAGAAGTAGGGTAATTTTGCCATTATTTCTAATGGAACCGGACTTCTTATTGCAACCAGAGGAGTCGCCTTCTGATGGCTGTTCAATAGAATGTAGGTTCAACAGACTTCTGCATTGGATTTACGTCTCAGACCGGAAGCCCCCCCTGTTCCATTGTTTCCTCAGCACCAAAACAGGAAGTTGTTGTAACTTCACTGTAAATTCTCAAATCTGCACCAAACTTTAGGTGCTTCATAACGGTCCTGCCCCGAACACATCTACAATTGTCAGTTATAGTTGTAGCTCCACCTACTGGAAACAGAAAGTAAGCTCTGTGTGACACTCATCATGCAATTTAAATAAAATTTCACAATGTCTACCACACGTGATGTGTTAGGACATAATGTAGTTACCGGGTGCTCTCTCTAATGTAATCTGGACAACCAACATTCCAGCAAGTCTGATTGGACTGGGTCAAACTCAACAATACATTTTCCCCACCAGAGAAAGCAAAGAAACAGTTGGACAAAAAGCACACCCACCTTCTATAGGTGTATTAGGATCTGGTCGATTTGCAAAAACCACGTCTATGTACTCCAGCTGAAGCCTCTCTAGTGATGCTCTTAGACCTGTTTCATAAATACAATTGCATATTTATTTTAGCCTTACATATGAGAAATGTGATGTTATGTGGCTATGATGCACATGCAACTTGGTTGTTCAAATAAATCAATCTACTTTTGCTGTCATGACAAAATGCTAGCCTTATAATTATTCACAGTAGTAGCTAAAACTCTTACCTTCAATTATATGTTTTCTAGACAACCCTCTTTCCATTTCTGCTCTGAAAAAAAACATTGAGCATTTCACTGGGTGCGTAGAATTCAAACATAATACATTTCGAATTTAATACTGTGGAGGTGGGCATGATTTGCATTCAGCTGCAGTAGGGAGAGGTGGCTCAGGTGAGCAGAGCCAGGGAGTGCAGACCGTGTGGAGGACTGTCCTAAGGTGACCGGCGTGAGCGAGCCGGGGAGCGTGTGGTCAGCCCGGGCAAGGAGCTTTATTGTGGGAAAGTGTGTGTGTGCGGCAGCGTGTGAAATAAAGACACTGTATTAAACCGTGCTCCTGAGACTTTTGCTACAGATACATCTTATGTTACACTCACTGGTAACGAATGCTGGAAAGCTTAGCATACTAGGATAAAAGGATGGGCCAGTACATATAGGGCTGGATCTAATCAGAGAAAATGAGAAGCAGGTGAGTGAAGATGGGTGAAGCATGCCAGGTGAGGGAAAGGGGTTACTGGAGAGAGAAGGGAGTGGCAGGTTCTGAAATGACAGTACTGGGAGATCAGGAAGGATTATTGACATTTTATATTGTAAAATATATTGTATTATAGGTATCATTGCTATATTGAATATAGGTAAGCACAAAGCACAGAACCAAATCCTATCCTTCCATCCATTTTCTTCCACTTATCCGGGGCCAGGTTGGGGTGGCAGCAGGCTAAGCAGGGTAGTCCAGACATTTTCCACTTGCTCCTGGGGGATTCTAAGGTGTTCCCAGGTCAGATGAGATATATAATCTCTCAAGCATGTTCTGATGAAGCCAACAGAACCACATCCTCTGCAAAGAGTAGAGATGCAATTCTGAGGTCCTATCAGACAGGACAGCCTCCTCCCCCCTTGAGATCCTGTCCTGTCCATGAGTATCACAAACAAAATCTGTGACAAGGGACAACCCTGGTGGGGGATATTTGACTTTGTACAGAGAATACGGACACAGATCTCACCTTGGTTATAGAGCTTTCATCGGATGCATTGCCAAGGTGACGCCCCCAGCACAAAGTTAACTTCCATTCTGTTTGTTTATCAATGGGTTTGTGTTTACTGGCTAATACGGTGAGTGATATCCAGTACAGTGTTTCCCGTACATTCATTTATTTGTGGCGGCCCACTACATTATCAGCGCTGACCGCCGCATATTGATTTCCGTTATCTTTACAATTTAAGATGGGAAAACTTAGATTTCAGAGCTGCATGCAGTGCATATTCGCTCAGCACCTCCTCTCACTCACTTCCTTTCTCTCTCGGTCTCCCACAAACACATTGACAGCAGACCATCCATCCAAATCCATCCAACGTCAATGTCGGGGATCCCCCCCGCCGCGCTCGCCACAGTTAAGTGCAAATTATACTTCTGCGTCAAATCGACGGGGTAGGTGACGGCGTAGGTACGGGGCTACGCAGAGGCTATGCCGTCGCCTGACTTTTTTTTTTTTATTGAGGTGAAAATTTACATGTTATTTATTAACAATATCTGGCATAGTCAGAGATCACCAAATATCAGTGCTAACAGGAAACACGTTTTTTAGCTGTTTTCTTCTTCATGAACAACAGGGACTTGTAGTATGCAAATTCTTTCTTGAAGACATTAAAAAGAGGCTGTGTTTTTAAACATTTACATTTGTGGATGAAGAAGTGTTTAAGAGCAGTTCATAGTTTTTGTCCTTCATTATAATTCCAAATGTGATGTTATCTCTTGTGAAATTGGAGAGAGGCTGGAGATAAGGTTCCAGCCAATCATACATGTCACACCAGAATGTGTTACTGTAAGGACAGAAGAAAAACAAGTGATCCGTGGTCTCTATGTCCTCATCACAGAATATACAGTTAGTTGGATCAATGTTAAATCTATGTGAGAGGAGATCTCTTGAAGGATATATGCCATTAAATACTTTGAAGTAAAGCTCTTTAGCTGTTGGTGAGAAATCTGTGCATAGTTTCTTCAGAGAATAATGACTGAAAATAAGAGAGGCAGCATTTCGGCTGTGTTGCATTGGGTATAAAGAGATCTCTGTGTAAAGATATCACGGAACATTTTGTTTTGCAAAGTCTTACTACAGAACTGGTGATTAGCAATCATCAATGAAGGAAGAAAAGGGGGGTTGAACATATGAGGCAGTGCATTTTTTGGGATACTTGCTTTGGATGCTTTTTGTACCGAAATCTTCAAAAGATAAAACATTTCCATAGTTGTCCAGTAAATGTGTGACAGACCAAATATTGTTTTCCATCCATTCATTGAGATACAGGGACTTATTTCTAAAGAGAATGAATCTGCAATTCCAGATGGGTACATCATGGGGAGTAAAATTGTGTTTGTACAGTAGTTTCCAATATAACTGAATATAACTAAATGAAATGCAGACAGTTTTATAGAAAGTTTTAGAACATTAAAATCATAGCATAAAAGTAAATCAATACCTCCAATTTTTTTAAACAATTCCCTGGACACACAATACCAGAAGCTTCACGCCATCACCTGACTTGCACCTCCTCAAAAATGTAACTACACGTCGAGTCGACGCGGACCGTAAGCTCTGTGACTGGTCAGCTGGGTAGCCTCGCTATGCCTCCGAGCCGATCGGAAGTATCCTGCGCTTTGAAGTAACGGCCAAAACGGCGGCTGTAACACAGTGAATCAATATATTTGACCGTCGCAACCCGAGCGAAATGACTCGTTTCGCTATCAGAATTTGATCCCTTCGGTCAGTAACCTTTGAAAAGGTTAGCAGAGCTTAAAACTGGAAGTTAGCCAGCTTGGCCAGCAAAAGTCAACACAGTGGACGCTGTAGCGCTACTGCCGACTAGAGTTTGGGGATGTAATTGACGAATGACGGACACACCTACGTACAAGTATAAATGCATGGCCATGCGGAGGAGTATAAATGGACCTTTACGCTGTCATTCTTTGGGAAACACCGTTGTAAATCACACAGGTCGGTGGAAAAACATTCATGTCTCAAATTTCTGTTCAGCGGGTCTGGTAGTGTGACCTTATCATGTTTCAGTTTGGCCAAGTAACATTTCTTTTCTTCGACTGGCAGCTAAGGTTATTTACTTGCATTATGGATTACTTGCGGAAGTCTGACGGAAGTTAAGTTTGGGCCAGAGTAATGCACATGCACAGTACCGTTTGTTATGTTGTTACCGTTGAAAGCATCATAGGAACCAGATGGTTCTTAGCAATGGTCTGACTACCCCATACTTCCTCAGTGTCCCGCACATGACCACCTTGGGACACAGTCAAAAGCTATTTTTTCTGGGGCACATTTAGCTCAGTTGGTAGCGCGCACCCCATGTACAAGGCACTGTAGTAGCCTGGGTTCGGGTCTAGCCTGTGGCCCTTTGCCGCATGTCGCCCCCTATATCTCTCCCTCTTTCCTCATTCTATCCACTGTCCTATCAAACGAAGGCGAAAAATGCTCCAAAAAATGTCTTTTCTAGCTATTTCTGAAACCACTAGACACATGTAGACCCCCCATGCCATGAAAGGGGGAAAGAGCTGGTCCAGTGTTCCATAGCCAGGATAAAATCAGCATTGCTCCTCCTGGAGTGGAGGTTTGTCTCTTTTTCAGCACCCTGAAAGAAACTTTCCCAGGGTGGCTGAGCAGAGTGATACACCTATAAGTGGAACAAACCCTCGGGTCCCCCTTTTTAAAAATGGGAACCACCCTGTTCTGCCACGCCAATTGCAGGGAGTACTGAAAAAAAGAACAACTGTAGGTCTTGTTATGTCCCTTTGGACAACATTGCAGGCTCACTTCAGCCTCAGTGGAATGACAGAAAGCGGACTGAAGGACTGAAATCTATCTTTGCTATTGTAGCCTATGCTTTGTATCCCCAGATAACAAAAAATCCCATACCAAGTCATTATATTAATACTAGTGAAATCCACTGCTTGGTTGCAGTCTGGATGAGGAATATGCACATATTGTAAGCAGGGCTTCTATTTGACTGTTTTACTATTATATGCTTTATTATAATAGCCCTATGTTTCACTGTGAGGTGCTTAGCTCTTAGCTTATGGCTACTAAGGAGCATTCATTCATTGCAATCATAGAAAGAGTAAAAGAAGGAGAGACAGAGCGGAGTAGGAGAGAAAAAGAAAGCATAGACATACTTTCCACCCCAGAAGATTTTGGTGGTGATGACTAAACTGGAACGCCTGCATGTAGGACCATAAATAAAAACAGAAATCAGACTGTGGTAGTTTCATTCTCTCAAATGACACCTGGAAACAATATCTCTTGGGGACAAAAAAGCAATATATCATCAAGCACTTCACAAAAACAGTAGTACAGAGTACAACATAAGTAGCAGAGTAGCAAATAATTGTGTATGCATGCCCAGATATTCAGTTTCTCCAGTGACCATAGCTGGTGTAACGGAAATAACCGTAGAGGATGGAAATGTCCATACATTGTAACAGCGATAGGGGATATGCATTGAGTATGGATTAAAAGCTAGGTCAAATAAAATGTACATGAAGTCACACCCTGAAGGGGTGCATTAATCAATATCCACTATTTAGTGACAGCCGAGCCCATTTGCTTTCTGATATAATCAAAAAAGCAACAAAATCTTAACAAATTTACAGTATGAATCAGGTGAGGAGTATGTAATCTCCTCCAAATAAAGATAGGATACCATATCATTGAGCCAAAACTGTCAAAATAACCCCTTATAGAAACATTAAAGCATATTGGGTCCTAAATAGTAGTTTTAGGAAGTAAGAGCAAGTACACGGTATAGGTCAAATTGTTCCCCATAATTAAACAAAGTAAATGTACTGATTGCCTCCCAAAATGTTTAACTTTAGGGCAAGTCCAGAATGGATGTCCCCTCTCCTGACCTGACATTTGTCTGCTCTAGAAGAAGTTTTGAGATTACTGAGCCCAAAGCTCATCAGATATCTCAGAACCAAATCCCCTTCTCTAAGCCTCTCTGAGATGACAAGAGGAGGAAGGCTAGGTAAATTTAGATAGAAAGAGATTAAATCAAACCTTCGGGTAATGAAAGAAATTGAAATATGGAACTATAGAATATAGAATATCTGGAACACAAGTTCATGTCATTTTTCATTTCAGGCCCTGTTATATCACTGCGATGGCCTCAGAACATATTTGACATCCCATTGTCTACACCATCTCTGGTAAATCATAATGGGAGCAAAAAACTGAAATGCTGTTGCAAACTGTTAATTTGGGTTGCTTGTGGTCCCATGCTCCCTGTGGACCTTTCCCTCCCCATGTGGACAAGCAATTGCTTGCCAGTGTAGGCTTCCTGCAAGGTTGGAGCTTCCGTCTAGAGTGTGTCCGTTTGTCGCTTATCACAAGTAGGTGGTCATGTAGAATGGGTGAACAGCTAATCAGTTGTGTTTAGCCACACGTGAGTGCTAATTTGCAGTCTGGTGCCTCTTTGTTTCTAGGGCATGGCGTCTTCCTGAAGTGGCAGTCCAGTCTCTTGCCTGCCCAGTTGAGGAAAAGCTGCCATTCCTCTTTTTATATGCTAGACAAAACCTTTATGTACAGGTGCTGGTCATATAATTAGAATATCATCAAAAAGTGGATTTATTTCAGTAATTCCATTCAAAAAGTGAAACTTGGATATTATATTCATTCATTACACACAGACTGATATTTCAAATGTTTATTTCATTTAATTGTGATGATTAAAACTGACAACTAATGAAAATCCCAATTTCAGTATCTCTGAAAATTAGAATATTACTTAAGACCAATACAAAAAAAGGATTTTTAGAAATGTTGGCCAACTGAAAAGTATGAACATGAAAAGTATGAGCATGTACAGCACTCAGTACTTAGTTGGGGCCCCTTTTTGCCTGAATTACTGCAGCAATGCGGCGTGGCATGGAGTCGATCAGTCTGTGGCTCAGGCTGTTATGAGAGCCCAGGTTGCTCTGATAGTGGCCTTCAGCTCTTCTGCATTGTTGGGTCTGGCGTATCGCATCTTCCTCTTCACAATACCCCATAGATTTTCTATAGGGTTAAGGTCAGGCCAGTTTGCTGGCCAATTAAGAACAAGGATACCATGGTCCTTAAACCAGGCACTGGTAGCTCTAATTTTCTGAAATACTGATTTTGGGGTTTTCATTAGTTGTCAGTTATAATCATCAAAATTAAAAGGAATGAACACTTGAAATATATCAGTCTGTTTGGAATGAATGTTTACATTATACAAGTTATACTTTTTGAATGGAATTACTGAAATAAATCAACTTTTTGATGATATTCTAATTATATGACCAGCACCTGTATATGACAAAAGTTCTGTTTGACATTCTCTTTTAATGTAGGACAGTATGAAAGTGTGATTGGGTGTAAGGAGTTAACAGTCTCAGTTAGCTCAGTTTTTAACAGTGTGTTTGTCACTATGTGTAAATATTGATTTTTGTAAATATTTAGTTTGGTTTATTTTGTTTCTTTCCTCTGGAAACAGTTTGGTTTTGTTGAGCTAATTGTTTGCTTTTGCTGGGTTGTTTTCTTTTTACTAATTTGTTTAGAATCTCAATTCTGTCTGGTTTTAAATGGTATGTTGTAAAAGCCTTTTAAAAAGTAAATGTCAAAATAAAATAAACTGTTTTGTGAATGGAACAACGTCTCTGACCTTCCCTACTCCAAGTAAGACGAACCTGTTCATTTGTCAGTGTTGGCTTGGGAAAATTGAAATTCCCCAGATGGTGTAGTTGGTTAATATTGCATGTCTTAGAAATTTGTTTTAATCTTAATGTGAGGCCCAAACGATCTGCCTTGCTACATTCGCATACTTGGGTTTGAGACTTTCAGCTCACAATAACAAAGACAAAAGGTAGGCACAGGTGGTCCTGTTGAGCTGGCTGTTTTTCTCATTAATTCTTAGTACCCATTGGCACTAGCTGCCTATACAGCTTGTGCAGCAAAAGCGGCCCATCAGTGGAGCATCATTAGTCCTCCGTCAGTGTGTACATAGGATATGTTCAGGCACAGTATTGAATATAGGTCATCCAACAACAATCACTATGATTACATGTGTAAAGCAGAAGAAAATAGACTTGAAGTGAAAAGGTGAGTGACCCATCGATATGCTGCACCCTTTTGGCTGGATTCTCCTCCCATCATTCAATAAAAAAAGTTAGGAGGGTCCTCACAACTGAGTGCTTATATTTTGAGTGATGGTTGGGAATTCATATTAAACATATCTGTGTGAGAGGGTTGCCAGTGCCCTGTGGTCTACGCTCTTCTCAGCCTTCACATGTCAGCTGTGTTCTGTCAGCTGCTGTCTAACGACCTTCACCCCTTCTTCTGCGGGGGATGCTGGTAAACGGCACACAGGATACCAGTCTTTATATCAAATCCTTGATCTTGACAACAGTGAGCTTTTCCATTGCACTGTTTTGGCTCACCTTGACTTTTCCGGGCCTTCCATCTTGTCAAAAGAGAGAGATATTTGGATCTCAATTGCTAGATGGGTGGAGATGGAGAAAATTTTGTCCACCCAAGACTTACATCAAGTCATAGGATTTGTTCCCTACTCATCTGCATGGTTATACTTGGTGTTGTCAAAAGTGCCAATGGAAAAGTCCTAATGGTAATCCCCGGGAGAGTTGGCCATTAGATGGTCGCTTCAGCCTTTGCTGTGTTAGAGTTTTGACAGGATTGTCTGGCTTCATGAACTTCAGAAATTATGACTCTAAACTATAGACCTCTCCTTGGGTCTTGTCTGACGCCAGCTGTGATGCTAATGGAGGCGCCACAGTGGAGGAGCTGGATTCAACCATAATAAATGTTTGGGTTTGACAACATTTGACTATACAGATAATACAATAAAAAGTATAAAAGAGTAAAAAATTGTGGATAAACGGTTTAAACTGAGCCTTTTAATATGATACTACTAGTAGATACTACTAAGATTAAAAGTCTAGACAAACAAGACAAACATCATGAAGCTCCTACCTCCATCCTTTCTTCTTTATGATTCTTCCCAAGACAACTTCAGCCCTTGGAAGATTAGCAGAGAGAGAGAGACATGCTGCTTCTTTAATAAATAAAGTTTTTAATACATAAGAAAATTTATAGGCCATACAAAGTTCCTCATGGACCACAAAATAAGGTACAAGGTGAGTTAAAGAGGTCATATTATACTAATTTTCAGGTTCATAATGTTATTTAGGGGTTGTAACAGAATAGCTTTATATGGTTGAATTTTGAAAAAAACACCATATTTTTGTGGTCACACTGCACATTCCTGCAGCTCCTCTTTTCAACCCGTGTCGAACGGGCCGTTTTAGCCAGCGAGTGAGGCATCTCACTTCAATTCGAGCTTTGTGGGGAGTTGCACATGCGCAGTAGCTAGGTAAGGACTACTAGCCAATCAAAAGCAGAGTAGGGCGGGTCCTGACAAGCAAGGTACTGTGATCCAAAACAAAGCCGCTTCAGCGGGTTACCATGGCTTAGGTTCCGCTGTAGCCTACACGTTTGAGCACATTGGACGTGATGTAACAAATGGGAGAGGTGTTTCGGTTAGTGACTTTCAGTCAAATGCATCTGTGGTTGCAGTTGAAATGTTTTTTACTGGATTAAAACCCAAATCATTAAGGGAAAATAAGTTAAACTTGAGAGACAATTCCAGTGTGTCATTATCACCACATTGTTATTCTGTAGAAGTAACAAAACAACTTGTACAGCATGCAGCCAGCCATCTCTCTGAAAAACAAGAGCCAGCTAGATCAACTTGTGACCACACTACTCATGAACTTAATACCATTTTACACAAATAAGCATTATTTAGCTCAGATTTGTTTCTAAAATAAGTTATCTATTTATGTTAGTAGCCTTAAGGCTATGTTTGCGGCTACTTACAATGTGTAATTATGACAAACACACATATACGTGTGTGTGTGTGTGTGTGTGTGTGTGTGTGGGTGTGTGTGTGTGTGTGTGGTGTGGTGTGTGTGTACACACAGGCTAGAAATTAAATTCTCATTTGTAACACAAGACTATAAATTATCAGTTAGTTATAGAAAACAGGCACTATACAGCCAGAAGTAAAAACCAGGTAGAACAACATTACTTAGGCCTGTTCTTAGTAAGCCATATTTTACGCAGTCTATCCAAGGAAGGTTAAAAATTAATGGATGGACTCATTTATACTGGAAGTGCAAACCTTCACAGAACACATCAACTCTGGACAGTCACATCAATCAAAATTATTTATCGAGCACTTTAAAAATCCAAAGTGGACACAAAGTGCTATACAGTAAAACAATAAAATGAAGAAAAGCGGTGGGTTTTAGAAGAGACTTAACAGACAGTGAGGATGCCTCAGATACATCAAGTAGGCCTACACACGAGAGGATCTCAGCAACAACCTGTGGCGGTTTTGGGGCAGCCAACAGGGGCCAGTGCCCTTATGGCCCCCTCTGAACGAAAAATCTACAATAATCATAGTAATATCTTCCTTGTGCCGATATGGCGCTGATGTGTACAAATGTTCTCAACTAGTCGGATCCTTTAGGTACAGTGGGTACGGAAAGTATTCAGACCCTTTAAATTTTTCACTCTTTGTTTCATTGCAGCCATTTTCCAAAAATCAAAAAAGTTCATTTTATTTCTCAGTAATGTACACTCAGCACCCCATCTTGACAGAAAAAAACAGAAATGTAGAAATTTTTGCAAATTTATTAAAAAAGAAAAACTGAA